TTATCTTTTTTTTTTTTAATAAGAAAAATATGATACTTGTTGATTATCTTCTTCTTTTTTTGACAAAAGAAGAAGATGTTGTACTACATTTTTTTTTGCTTGTTGTATTACTTTTTATTTTTTTTATCCTATGCCTGAGTTGGCCGAGCTGACTATGTGACTTGGTAGGTTTGGCTCAAGACTTGTGGGTGTCCAAATTCAACCACTAAAACAAGTTTTTAAACAACTAATTATCAGTCAATTATGCTTAAAACGAAGAGTACCTTTTGTTTGGTTTTTGTGGCCATTAAAGGCTTTATGAGAGCTTGTAATCAATATTTTGATATAGTGAAACATAAACTCAGTTTGAGTATGGTTCTATTAGACTGAGATACACAATTGTTATTTGCTAATACTCAAACTTGGTTTTACATGTTAGGCCAGTCAAGTTGAAAAGCCCTTAATTACCTAGGCAAAGTGCTCAACGATGAGGGTTAGCAGGGTCATCCCTTGAGGTCAGAGTTCTCCAGAATAGAGAGCCAATGGATTATATGGCCCTTGTGTATGATGGTTGGCATTTAGATATGAGGGACAAAGCCTCATCATTTACACAACATATACATATGATAACTATATTGGGAAAATGATTCACCATTGAGGGTGATGCATGCACATGTACGAGAGATTATCCTCATGTACCATAGAGCAATGGTTGCACCAGGTTTGTGTGACCTAAGACTTGGCTCTAGGGGAGAACCTGTAATTCATGGATTGTGATTATGTCCTCTCGCTTATTTGCTGGCATTGGTGACCAAATCATGAATATCTGTCATGGTCTATGGGTCATGGGAATCACTAGATCAATTTGATAAAGTGAGGTCCACAGTCCACAATAGAAGATGGAGTGCTTCAGCAATTTTAGAATTCCAAAACCTAATTAGGTCTAAATCTCATCAAAATTATTTGTAATTAACTATTTTGATTTCAAATCATTTTTAGATTATTTGAATTTTTAGAAGTATCGAGATATTTTATTTTCATAAAATGGATTTATAAATAGAGATATATTGAATTTTCAATATTTAAATATTCACAGAAAAGAATTTTTATATCTCATATTCTAAAAATCTGTTTTTATAAATTTATAAA